GGACCAGGAAACATGGTAACTCAAAAGAAAAGGTAAACATTAACAATACAAAATTAATCAAACGTGCATGCTCATTGATCAATTGTGTATGTCTAATATGAATTACCCACCCAAGTCCATGGCTGGTGGTGGTTTAGGTCCTCACATGGTGAAGGCCAGGACTGAGGCCTTCACAGTGCCATAAAGCAAGTAAAAAAAAGTTGCCACCATGAAAGACTGGGGTTGTCTTTTCACCTTGTTTTTATGTCAAGCACACTAATATACATAAACTCCGCAGACATTTTCATTAATTCATCAAGTGATAGATATTTTCATACATTTATAAACTGTATTTCACCTTTCATCAAATAGTAAGATGAAATTTGTACCAAGATGCAGGTAACAATGTTCTTCTAAAGTAGTGTTTTACTAATCAGTCTGACTTCATATAAACCTCTAAATCTTCCTTGAATAAAACTTTCCCTGGATTTATTTCACATTTTCCCCAATTTTAAATAAGAAACATTGCACCAGGAGCCAGATATACTGTAAAGTTAAGAGTTGAAGCACAGAAAGATGTTGAAGCTTGAAATGATGTTTAATCAAAGAATTGGCTGTTATCTGCTTGCTTCATTACCTTGTTGTCTATTTAAAATCAGCGTGAAGTGCTGCACACATTTACGATGTATAATTTAGTATCTTGTCCTTAAAAACTGACATTTATCTGGCAGTACATGTTAGATATCAGTAAAAAGAATAAACAACTGAGTTGGTCTAATAAGTCAACGAGACTAATTGAATTTGAATCCCACACCAGGCCTCTGTGCCAACTTTAATGTGCCATTGCGGGTGGAACTGCAATATTTTTTGGGCTCAGGTTTAATGACATTATTTTCATTATTTCTGGCCCTGTAGGTGCTTTGAGTTGTCATGTTATTCATGGATTTTGAACCCATTGCTTCATGGGCACTTGTGGATGTAATGACATCTGTTTCAGTCATTTCACCCAGGGCAGGAGTATGAGACTGATAAAAGTGACCTTTCAAAATACTTCTTTTTTATGTATTTGGAGAGATTTTATTTATTTCGAGTGAAACAATGAGTTGACGTCTGACATATGTTTAAATTTTTCTTAAGCCTGATTGGAAGACATGTACTTCATATTTCCTGTTTTTAAAAAAATCCTTTTGTGCTTTCTCTTAAGAACATGAAAGCCATGACCCAGATTTACTATTACTGTACATTTACCAACCAGTGATGAATGAGAAATATATTCAAAATAATGAAAAGCTGTCAGTCAAGATATTTCAGATGCCCTTTTCCATTCCTTTACTGTTAAATCACTTCTAAAGTTTGCTCCCTGCATTAAAATCTCATCATTTGCATTTCCTGTGTGTACACTTACTGTACATGCACATATCACTTTGCCTCTAATTAGCCCTTACCCAGCACTGAAAAAAGGCTGGATGTTTGGGTCAAATGTAGGTTAACTGTACCGAGTGTTGCAGCAATTTGTAGTCTGTTCATGTAATATTGTACCAATTATGGTGATGGTACAGCCTGAGAGTGGCCTGATTAATCTTCCACTATCAAATTTTACAGATTTTATTCTGATTAACTATATTTACTATTCTTTTTGATCTGCCTCATTATAGTAATCATTACCATCATGTATTACATGTGGTTATTGAGCAGTTTTTTAAGTTGTCAGGATGAGCAGTCTATGAATATAATCCATGTCAGTGCATGTGTGTTTTCTTGCACTTGCTACATAGTAAGGAGCAAATAAGTTTGTTTGTTTCATTGTTTGTTTTTGCTACAAAGCAAGGGAATTTGTGGAAAGTGAGGACATTTTGGTTGATCCTTACTTTCTGAAACACATTTTTGAGGGTTAAGAGTGGGTTTTAGGGTTCAGGTTAGAATCAGATTTAGGTTAGGTGTTAGGGTAAGAGGGTTGGCATTTATCATTTAGTTGTTAAGGTTATGGTAAGGGGCTAGGGAAAGCATTGTGTCAATGAGTGTCCTTACAATGATAAAAGTACGTGTGTGTGTGTGTGCAGGACTCAAGTACTCCGCACTGACTTATTTTTTCCCTTCATCTGTGTCTCTGCAGTTTCTCAGTGGACCAAGGAGCCTCTGCAGCAGGAAAAGTAAGAGTTACAAGAAGTCACTTCTTCTCTGTATGTGTATCTGCATACTAATTATACTTGCAGGACTACCCATGTTCTTGTGTGTTTCTCCTGGGACATCACTGTCTATGCCGTCACTTGCCTGGAAAATGCAATTCAAAAGTGACGAGGGTCAGTGGTGTCATTGGTCACTTTTCTAGTATTTTGTTATTGATTGGGGATGAAAGAGCTGTACCTGTCAAATTTCACCTTTTATTTCTTCACCACACATTTTAATGTCATGGCTTGTGGGTTGTCACTGCGTTACATAAGCACTCTTAGTCTTTCATATACTACTCAAAAATTTCAGTCAGTCAATTTTGGTGATATGGTACAGATGACAGTATTAGTAAGTAATGCATTACATGTTACTGTATTTTTGTTACTGAACATTACATTAGTGGGACTACTTTTTCAGCAATGGGGATTTGTAAGTAATTTGAAATACAGGAACTACATTACAGTTACTAGTAACACTCTGTTACTTTGATATGTTTATTGGCTTGTTCTCTATCGTACTGGGAGTTGATGCTAAATGATGGATAGATAGCCCTACTCTCTTGTGTTTAGTTGACACTCTGGTGCACATTATCTTGCCACAAGGGGGGCTTGGTGGGAGGAGGTCAGCCCAAAGAGGAGAAATCAGACTCCTAGTAATTCCAGAGTTTCTTGTTTAAATAGTGTGTGTTTTATCCACAGGCAAATTTAACAGGATTCACCTGTTTATTTAGAGCTGAAGAGGGGTGTGAACCACACAGCTAAGGTTAAGACTTTTGATGCATATGTGCGTATCATCTGATCGTGGATTCCATGCCTGCAATATGTGTAGCATTTCTACTGTCTCAGCAGAGTCCACTGGTCAGCCTGGAGAATTTATGACCATCTTGTTGCCTTCATCCTCTGCAAGAATTTACAGGACAATTGCCTTGCTATCCAATCTATCCAGTGTGTCCAGAGAAATAAGTCAAGCTCCTTGTGATGAAAAACCACCCAAACTGTGAGCATTACCACAATGCAGCTGTGGTGGAACTGTGGACTGAACTAGATTTGACACTTTGAAGATACTAAAGACTGTTTAACTAGCAGAGGCCTGCCCTCACTAAGTACAAATGGAAGTATAAGTATAAATGAATGAACTATAAGGATATTGAATCCTTGTGAATATTTGGTTGCTTGTGCACTTGATGGTTTTGGGGAAGGTTAAGGAGGTCTGCGCTGCTCTCAGGCACTAGCTGACCTCCAGCAGGGATAGAAGAATAGAGGGGAAAAGATAGTAATAAAAGAGGGAGGACAACTGCCAAAGAAGTTGGTAACTACCTAAGAAGAGAGAGGTGGCAGCCCCATGGCCAAAGAAGAAGAAAAGGAGGAAACAAACAGCGGACGGAATAGGAGGCTCAGCGCCCGGAAGACAGGACAGCAGTGGAAAAGAAGAGGAAACAGAGGGCCTGGCCTGAACAAGAGACTGCAGCCGCACCAGTAGAGGAGGAGGGCCGACACCTGGCAGGAAAATGAGTGACCTCCATCAGACAACTGGCGACAGGGGGCTGTGTCAACGGGAGGGCGTTCAGCCATTCTAGCAAAAAGTGGAAGCACAAGTATGGATGTTTGAGGGGGTTCAGTAGTGTAAAAAACGGAAGAGGCATTGTTCGGATCAGGTCTCACTCCCAAACATAATAATTACATTGGGTACATCTCATTTCTCTTATAAGCACTGTCATTTCCCTCACTTGCATCTTTTCCTTATGTCTTAGTCCCATTCCTGTAAGATACAAGGAAAACATATGAGGAGAGGCGTGACATAGGACATGCTTTCCTCAGATCCTTCACCAGAAGTGTCACTAACTGATTTCCGATAAAGGGGCATGTCAGTTCACAGAAAACTCCCCAGAAAAAGGATGGTCTTGTGTATCCTCAGTCATGACTCCTCGGTCCTTGGCCCTAAGAGCCGATATAAGAGACTTGGAATGCCCTGCATCCTCAGTCAACCGAAACGACTTGCGGGTTGGTCAAGGACGTAGAAACAGTCCCATAAGAGGCATAAGACTTTATCTCCACATTGTAAAGAAGGGTCAGCAATGATGCTCTGTTAGCCTATATTTTCTCCCTTGAAAAAGCTATTCTTGTATTGTACAAATTTCAGCAGTGATTTTTTTTTAAAAACTGCTGGAGAGCATCATGTATGGGACACATACCATTTTTGTGGAAATATTTTTTGAGGTTGTTTGGCATTTCTGCTTTATTTCACAGTTCACTGTGAAATTGAGGTGACTTGACAGAAGACCGAAGTTCAATCAAAGCCTTTGATGTTGCAGTCAGATGACTAATACCTTTATAAATTGAACTGGCAAAACCCCCTATAACTATACTTTTGCAAGATTCAACATATGCTTTCTCAGTTTATGTGCATCTCTGCCAAACACAAATATAATGAGAGCTGGGAATCTGGTACAGAACTCTGTTTAAAAGACATAGTTGCAAACATGATATGCCAGTTGATTTGTCAAAGTGCATGTTACCCCATGTATCCCTCCATTAGTCTGATGAAAAAAACAACACATGCATGCTTATGCGGTTTGAGCCGATCATGATTTCACCACTGATCAGGTGTGAGATGTTACACAAACCTCTTTTAGAAATCTCTGAATGAAGGAGAGCAGAGAACAAGATGCTTCTGAGACTCAAAGGAAAACCATTATCAAAAGCATTAGTGCTCATATTTGTTAGATTTTCTCTTTTGCATTTCAGCTATCAAAGAAATATGGTTATCTAATTAATTTCACTCAACTATCTAGCTTTATTTTTCTTACTCACACAGCAGAGCACAGCAGTAGGTTTGGATAATAAAACAGGCATTCAGCCTGTAAAACAATTTATGTGAACAATATTATACATGCTGTGCTCCTCAACCTCACAAATAGCAGTTATTCAGCATTTTTCCTCCTGAACAGATATTTATACTCTGGCCAGAAAGGTTGTCACGCCCCACAGCAGGTCTTTAAAATGCTAGTTTGTGAACTGCTTTGTCTGCCCTGTGGAATCAACATATAGTCCCGTATGAGACAGAGTAGTATTGATTTATCTCTGCATAAAATTACTTCTCTGTTTCCCACCTTTAGTGACTGAAACAGCATTGGGACTCAAGTTTTTCTTATGTAGCCAGACATTACATAATGCTTGTTAGTTTGCTAGTGTGGCCCCTTTCAGACATGTGGTTCTTTCTTAATGTGACGGCATCTGAACATGTCTGAATGAGCACCCTGGACACTCTTCTGCCAAAGTTGCGACAGCAATCTTATTGATTCGAACCTAGTAAGAGTTATGTGTCTCTTTCAACATGGCACAAGTCTGAACTGCATGCAGTCACTTTAACGGATAAGCACACACTAGATTTTAACATATTGACATTACCCCAACCCTTAAGACAGAAGAGCTGCGACATTGAGGGGTCAAAAACAGCAGGGAGTCACATGACTCAAATAGCTTCAAGTAGTTCCAAACAGCGGATTTAGACTCATTGTTTTTTGTAGGGAATATCTGGATTTATCAGCAAATTACTGCTTTTAATGACTTGTACAGCCTT